TTAAATGCTTTCTCAAGAAAGAAACTAGACTTTCCACAAGAAGATCTTGTTCTAATTACTCCTATTGTGTGCTTTCAAGTCATTTCTGACTTGTTGACTCTAAGGGGACCCTACCATGGGGTTCTCTTGGCAGGATTTGTTCAGAAGGGGTTTGCCTTTGCCTTCCTCTGAAGCTGAGAGAGTGTAACTTGCCCAGAGTCATCCAGTAGGTTTCCATGGCTGAACACAGATTCGAACCCTGGTCTTCAGTGTTACAGTTCAACACTCAAACCAGTATGTCATGCTGGTTCCCAGTTCTAATTATATTCCATGTCAATTCCATTTAAAGAACAAGATTCTGAGAACTCATGAGGTCAAACCATTGTTTAATGGAAGAATATATAATCCCTTTCTTATTGCAGCAACACATCATCATCTCCCCATTTCCAGATACTTTTCAGAGCTATGAAATCCTGGGATTCCTTAGTTCTGAACAAGAAATATATATGATCGTGAGTAAAAGTCAGCCCAAAACAGGGATTTAATGGCATACTGTTCAGTACCAAGGAGGTAACACTGAAAATACATTATCAGTTCAAGAGTTCATAATTGTTTCAGATACACTGGTATATAATCCATGTATTATGTTATTGTTCACTTCTTTATTGTTCTATCCTATGGAATCCTGGGATGTGAAGTTTGTTGAAGTACTTAGAATGCTTTGCTAGAAAAATCACTATCACATTTCCTTTAGCTATAGCACTAGGTCTCGCTCTAGCAGAACATTCAAACTACTCATCACAAACTATAAATCCCAGGATTCTATAAGATGGAGCCATGAAAGTTAAAGTGGTCTCAAAGTACTAGAACTATATAGTGTAGATACACTCCTTGATTGTGTGGAGTTCCACCATGCATAGCATTCTAATTCAGAAATAGTTATCTGCAGGTCTGAGCCTACTTTATTTACTTAAAAACAATCCCCAGAAGTCATTCAGTTGTTGAGGGGGTGGACAATCTCTAACATAACACAATAGCTGAACCACAATTCCCAAGATTCTTGGAGGGAGACAGTAATTGCACTGAAATTAAAACAAAAATAACATTGTGAAGGTGAGCACCCTGAAGGAGCCCTGCTGGGTCAGAGCAAAAGAGTTACTTTTGTGGAGTACAACTTCCAGTATACTCCACCTGCCAGTAGGCACTGGCCACGTGGATGGGGGATTATGAGGAATTGTATTCCAAATAAATAAATAAATAAATAAATAAATAAATAAATAAATACTTTTCCAAGCTTAGAGTCCATCTAATGCAGTAGTGGGAAACATGAGCTTTCTAGATATCATTGCACTGCTACTTCCAGCAGCCCTAGCCAGCATAGGTAATATTGAGAGACACTGGGAGTTGTAGCATGGAGAGCCACAGGATTCCCACCTGGGTCTTGTTAGCTTATCTTCCTGCTTCCCACAGTAGCTAACTATGTGTTTTGGAAGCCAACAAGCAAGCCTCAAAGGTAGTGGCCGTTTACTGCTGTTGTATCCCAGCAACTGGTATTCAGCTTCTGAGTAAACAGATAACATACCCTCCAACTGTCCCAATTTGGCAGGGAGTGTCACAATTAATTCTCTGCCCTCCCACTATTTCACCTGCTTTTAAAATGTCCCAGTTTCTCTCCCCTTCTCCTACTTCTTCCTTGGCTCACTTCAATTGCTGCAAACTGAGTTCAAAGTGCAAACATAGGACCTTATCACAC